TCAGAAGGAGGCGCAGGTTTGACACTGAGTCAGAAGGAGGCACAGCTTTGACACTGAGTCAGAAGGAGGCACAGGTTTGACACTTTGTCAGAAGGAGGCGCAGGTTTGACACTGAGTCAGAAGGAGGCACAGGTGTGACACTGAGTCAGAAGGAGGCGCAGCTTTGACTGTGAGTCAGAAGGAGGCGCAGGTTTGACACTGAGTCAGAAGGAGGCGCAGCTTTGAAACTGAGTCAGAAGGAGGCGCAGCTTTGACACTGAGTCAGAAGGAGGCGCAGGTTTGACACTGAGTCAGAAGGAGGTGCAGCTTTGACACTTAGTCAGAAGGAGGAGCAGCTTTGACACTGAGTCAGAAGGAGGCGCAGCTTTGACACTGAGTCAGAAGGAGGCGCAGGTGTGACAGTGAGTCAGAAGGAGGCGCAGGTGTGACAGTGAGTCAGAAGGAGGCGCAGGTTTGACACTGAGTCAGAAGGAGGCGCAGCTTTGACACTGAGTCAGAAGGAGGAGCAGCTTTGACACTAAGTCAGAAGGAGGCGCAGCTTTGACACTGAGTCAGAAGGAGGCGCAGCTTTGACACGGAGTCAGAAGGAGGCGCAGCTTTGACACTGAGTCAGAAGGAGGAGCAGCTTTAACACTGAGTCAGAAGGAGGCGCAGCTTTGAAACTGGGTCAGAAGGAGGCGCAGGTGTGACAGTGAGTCAGAAGGAGGCGCAGGTTTGACACTAAGTCAGAAGGAGGCGCAGCTTTGACACTGAGTCAGAAGGAGGCGCAGCTTTGACACTGAGTCAGAAGGAGGCGCAGCTTTGACACGGAGTCAGAAGGAGGCGCAGCTTTGACACTAAGTCAGAAGGAGGCGCAGGTGTGACAGTGAGTCAGAAAGAGGCGCAGCTTTGACACTGAGTCAGAAGGAGGCGCAGCTTTGACACTGAGTCAGAAGGAGGCGCAGGTGTGACAGTGAGTCAGAAGGAGGCGCAGGTTTGACACTGAGTCAGAAGGAGGCACAGCTTTGACACTGAGTCAGAAGGAGGCACAGGTTTGACACTGAGTCAGAAGGAGGCGCAGCTTTGACACTGAGTCAGAAGGAGGCACAGCTTTGACACTGAGTCAGAAGGAGGCGCATGTTTGACAGTGAGTCAGAAGGAGGCGCAGGTTTGACAGTGAGTCAGAAGGAGGCGCAGGTTTGGCAGTGACTCATGTGAACGTTCTATCTTCAGTTTCATCAAAGACAGCCCCTGATGATGTCACACACAGGAGAAAGTACAGAACACACACACAACACAACAGGGAGAGCAACACACAGAACAACACAGCTTTTTATGGACACGCTACAATACAATACAAAACAGAGACACAATTACACACACCAGGACTCAATCAAGGATGAAGAAATACAAACACACACACGCTAATATTTCAGTCCATGGACCTGAAAGCACAGACATCTTGGGTCCCCAGGGGCTCAGTGAAAGTATTTATTTGAATGGCACATGTCTCACAGTGATGTCTGCTGTGGAGCTCTGTGTCCAGAGTGTGATGAAGACCTCTGTGTCTCAGACTCTGTGTCCAGAGTGTGATGAAGACCTCTGTGTCTCAGACTCTGTGTCCAGAGTGTGATGAAGACCTCTCTGTCTCAGACTCTGTGTCCACAGTGTGATGAAGACCTCTCTGTCTCAGACTCTGTGTCCAGAGTGTGATGAAGACCTCTGTGTCTCAGGCTCTGTGTCCAGAGTGTGATGAAGACCTCTCTGTCGCAGACTCTGTGTCCAGAGTGTGATGAAGACCTCTGTGTCTCAGACTCTGTGTCCAGAGTGTGATGAAGACCTCTGTGTCTCAGACTCTGTGTCCAGAGTGTGATGAAGACCTCTCTGTCTCAGACTCTGTGTCCAGAGTGTGATGAAGACCTCTGTGTCTCAGACTCTGTGTCCAGAGTGTGATGAAGACCTCTCTGTCGCAGACTCTGTGTCCAGAGTGTGATGAAGACCTCTGTGTCTCAGACTCTGTGTCCAGAGTGTGATGAAGACCTCTGTGTCAAGGACTCTGTGTCCAGAGTGTGATGAAGACCTCTCTGTCTCAGACTCTGTGTCCAGAGTGTGATGAAGACCTCTCTGTCTCAGACTCTGTGTCCAGAGTGTGATGAAGACCTCTGTGTCTCAGACTCTGTGTCCAGAGTGTGATGAAGACCTCTCTGTCTCAGACTCTGTGTCCAGAGTGTGATGAAGACCTCTCTGTCTCAGACTCTGTGTCCAGAGTGTGATGAAGTCCTCTCTGTCTCAGACTCTGTGTCCAGAGTGTGATGAAGACCTCTCTGTCTCAGACTCTGTGTCCAGAGTGTGATGAAGACCTCTCTGTCTCAGACTCTGTGTCCAGAGTGTGATGAAGACCTCTGTCTCAGACTCTGTGTCCAGAGTGTGATGAAGACCTCTGTGTCTCAGACTCTGTGTCCAGAGTGTGATGAAGACCTCTCTGTCTCAGACTCTGTGCGGCTGGTTGGAGGCTCTGGTCTCTGCTCTGGATCACTGCAGATCTGGGACCAGTCCTGGATCTCGGTCTGTGAAGGTGCCTTGGACCTGCGGGGAGCAGAGGTGCTGTGCAGGGAGCTGGGCTGCAGGGGTCCTTCTGTCCTCCAGGGGGAGCTCTCTTCTCTGGGGCAGACGTTCCACTGTGAAGGCCATGAGTCTGCTCTGGTGGACTGTCCCCGCTCCAGACCCAAGACCTGTCCCTCTGGACCCAGTGAGGACGTCATCTGCTCAGGTGAGGGCGGGGCTAAGGTGGGCGGGGCTTTAGTACAATGTAAATCAATCAATCCATAAAAGCATAACAAAATCCTAAAGCAAGGACAGAAAACAAATAAGAAGAATAATAATCAGATATTTTTCCAAAGAGAAGGCATCAAGAATCTTCACCTTTTTTGAAGCTTTTTTTGCTCTGTTTCAACTGAACATTCTGCTAAATTGTGAAAGTGTTCAACATAATAAAGACGCTCACAGTATTTAAATCTTTCTCACTTGACTTAAATATCAAAAGTGAAACAGTTTCTTCATGTTATAAGTCTCCAAAGAACCCTAATGATATTGACAAAAGACACGACTTAATATTCAGTTTAAATGTCTATAAGTGTGTGTGGACTGGGTCGCCGAGGTCTCCGCCTTCGACTGCAGCCCAGTCCTCTCTGTACCGTTTCGCCACCACGGACCCCTCTGCAGGTGGAGGGCCCACAGGAGGGACTGCCCACGTCACCCCTTTGGGCTGAGCCCGGGCGGGCCCCATGGGCTAAGGCCCGGCCACCAGGCGCTCGCATACGAGCCCCGACCCCAGGTCTGGCTCCAGGGTGGGGCCCCGGCTGCGCCATGCCGGGCGACGTCACTGCTCTTGAATTAGTACTGTCCATGGTGTCTTCGGACTGCGCTTCATCTGACTTGTCACCCGAGACCTGTCTGCCATGGGAGACCCTACCAGGGGCATGAAGCCCCAGACAGCATAGCTCCCAGGATCATCCGAGTACTCAAACTCCCCCACCACGTTAAGGTGGCAGTCCAGGAGGGACCAGCTCTACACTCTCCATCGGATACTCGAGGGTTCATGGGAGTTCGCCCAACCTGTCCACATGTGCTTTGTGGATTTGGAGAAGTGTTCGTTTGACCGTGTTCCCCGGGGGGTTCTCTGGAGGGTTCTCCGGGAGTACGGGGTCCGGGGTCCTCTGCTGAGGGCTGTTCGGTCCCTGTATGACCGGAGCCAGAGCTGTGTTCGCATTGCCGGCAGTAAGTCAGACCTGTTCCTGGTGAATGTTGGCCTCTGACAGGGCTGCCCTTTGTCATAGGTTCTGTTCACTGTATTTATGGACAGAATTTCTAGGCGCAGCCAGGGGCCGGAGGGGGTCCGGTTCGGAGACCACAGGATCTAATCTCTGCTTTTTGCGGACGATGTTGTCCTGTTGGCTCCAACGAACCAGGACCTGCAGCATGCACTGGAGCGGTTTGCAGCCGAGTGTGAAGCGGCTGGGATGAGAATCAGCACTTCCAAATCCGAGGCCATGGTGCTCGACCGGAAAAAGGTGCCTTGCCCTCTCCAGGTGGGTGGAGAGGCCCTTCCTCAAGTGGAGGAGTTCAAGTATCTTGGGGTCTTGTTCACGAGTGAGGGAAGGATGGAGCGTGAGATTGACAGGCGGATCGGTGCAGCGTGCGCAGTGATGCGGTCGCTGTATCAGACCGTTGTGGTAAAGAGGGAGCAGCGTCTGCAGTCAGAGCTGTATCGGACCGTTGTGGTAAAGAGGGAGCAGCGTCTGCAGTCAGAGCTGTATCGGACCGTTGTGGTAAAGAGGGAGCAGCGTCTGCAGTCAGAGCTGTATCAGACCGTTGTGGTAAAGAGGGAGCTGAGCCGAAAGGCAAAGCTCTCGATTTACCGGTCAATCTTCGTTCCCTCCCTCACCTATGGTCATGAGCTTTGGGTAATGACCGAAAGAACGAGATCGCGGATACAAGCGGTCGAAATGAGCTTCCTCCGCAGAGTGGCTGCTCCCTTAGAGATAGGGTGAGGAGCTCAGTCACACGGGAGGAGCTCGGAGTAGAGCCGCTGCTACTCCACGTCGAGAGGAACCAGTTGAGGTGGCTCGGGCATCTGTTCCGGATGCCTCCTGGACGCCTCCCTGGGGAGGTGTTCCGGGCACTTCCCACCGGGAGGAGGCCCCGGGGAAGACCCAGGACCCGCTGGAGAGACTATGTCTCTCAGCTGGCCTGGGAACGCCTTGGAGTCCCCCCGGACGATCTGGAGGAGGTGTGTGTGGATAGGGAAGTCTGGGCGTCTCTGCTTAGACTGCTGCCCCCGCGACCCGGCAACGGATGAAGCGGAAGAAAACGGACGGATGGATGTCTATATTTGTATTATTTTACACATAATAACCCAAAATGCTGTCCCCACAGGACAGAACCAGAATCAGTCTCAGATGATTCAACATCTGTTTGGCAGAAGCCGCATGAGTCTGATTCCTGCAGACCCCAAATCTTGAGCATATTTTTGTGGATAACATTATTTAGAATTTTGATTGTAAAGAATCTGGTTTGTGAGTCTGTGAGGTGTGACAAACTTCTGTTCAGTGAAGTGTTCAAGTCTAAACAAGTATTTTTCAGTATTAATTATGAGTTTCCATTTATTCCACAAGACCCCAGATAATCAGTTACACACCTGTGAGAACTGATATTTATATTAGTTTTTAATTCTCTGAGAATATTCTAATAAATGTCCTTCTTAACAATATGGTTGATGAATATATTCTAATAACAATATGGTTGATGAATATATTCTAATAACAATATGGTTGATGAATATATTCTAATAACAATATGGTTGATGAATATATTCTAATAACAATATGGTTGATGAATATATTCTAATGTAGGGTAAATATAATTAAGATGTAGTGTAGTGCGGCTAGTCTCCAGAATCAGAGTCTTGCCGTACTACACGAGTGGGGGATCTGCTTTTTATTTTGGGCACCAGCAGAGTTTGAAAACTTCTGCACAGATCCAACTAATTTGCCTCGAATCAGTCTTATAATCTAATAGGTAGTGAGTGCGTATATCGGCCAAGGATATCCAAGATTTAAAAACACGACGCTGAAGTGATTGAGTTAAAGATAACGGGGGGTTTATTGACTACAAAAATGAAAATAGAAAATATAACGAAAAGGGTTTTCTGGTCACATTAAGCAGAGGTTGTATACATATCATTCGAATCACACTTCCAACAAGGAACAGTCTTACTTTGAGCAGTGTAGAGGGATGAAGAAGAGGTTTGGAGGAGGATGGGCATCCACGTGTTCTTTTGTCCGGGCAGGAGGGAGACACGAAGTCAGCGGGTCCAGTCCAACTTTGATCCACGCATATACAACGCAGTCCGGAATGCGTTGCGTGCGTAGGGTCCAGAGCCAGAAAAGAGGCTGATGATGGAATAGTTCGTGAGGTCCAGAGCCAGAAAGGAGGGTAGTAGTAATCTTTATTTATATACCGCCTTTTCACTGCACATCGGAGTCTCAAAGCGGTTTACAATTGTTATTTTTGGGAGTGGGGGTGCCAGTACAGGAGGCACATGCCAGACCTATTGTACATATTTTTAGTGGTAGGGGAAACCGGAGCACCCGGAGGAAACCTACGCAGACACGGGGAGAACATGCAAACTCCACTCAGAAAGGCCCTGGTCCAACCGGGATTTGAACCCAGGACCTTCTTGCTGAGAGGCGAGAGTGCTATCCACTCGGCCACCGTGGATAGCCGAGTGGATAGAACCGAGGGCTGTGCTCGCGGAGTGGAAAGGCCTCAGTGCGTACAGGCGCGGTCGTAGTAGGAGACACGTACTCGCGGAACGCAGAAGGGAAGGCTGTTATAGTGATTACAGGGGGAGCCAAGAGAAAGTCCTGGGTCTGCGGTCTGGTTTTGTTGTGTTCAAAGGGGGCGCGTCCGTGACGTCATCCTTGTGCGCCTCCCTGGACATCCCTCAAAACAGACATGTTATAATGGCAAAACGAAGGATTAATACAGACAATCATAACACATGTACAGACACACACCGCATTTACATTACTTGACAATGATAAACACGTGTAGGGCACAGTACAGATTATCGGAATACCGAATCCAGGAGTGCTGGTTTAAAATGTCCGTCCCGGGTGTGATAGTGTTCAGTGTCCACTGGGGGGCGCCGTAGCGCCGTGGGTGAGTCAAAGATTGTCTCAGGGCCGTGCTGCCCCTGGGAGTGGGGCAGGGCTTTGGCCCCTTGATCTTTCAGGCAGGCAGAGACAGCGATGTTTATTCCTGTTGGTGATTTTATTGCTCTGCTTGACGCCTGTAATCTTCCTGGCAAATGGTAGTCCCTCGGTTGACCCCACAGTCCCTTTGAAGCCTCAGGATGGGTCATGCTCGGGAGGGTATGTTTACATATCCTGGTTTGCTGGTCAACGTCCGACGGGCTGTCCTTTAAATTCACCTTACACTAATAACAAGAATCATGTCATCTTCTTCACAACTTGGTTTTTGTAGCACTGGTTACACTGTCCAGACGTACAAATGACCACTGGTTCATGGTTTTACACTGGTCCAGAGCAGAGAGGATATCATGGTTTTACACTGGTCCAGACCAGAGCAGAGAGGATTCATGGTCAGAGCAGAGAGATTTACACTGGTCCAACCAAGCAGAGAGGATTCATGGTACGAACCAAGTAGAACCATTGTAAATCCACTGAGGAATGATCCTGTTTAATAATTACTGATAAAGCAGAAATGTCCAAGACTAAGCGACCATCAAAGACTACAGCGACAGGAACCAGAGGACAGGAACCAGAGGACAAAACCAGAGACAGGAACAGAGGACAGGATACTGAGGACATGACCAGAGGACAGGGGACAGAGGACAGGAACCATGAGGACAGGAACCATAGGACATGGAACCAAGAGGACAGGGAATCAGAGGACGATGACGAGAGACAGGAACCAGAGGACAGGGCCAGAGTCAACTAATAAGCTGCCCGCCTATATGCTTCAAAGTCCAGGCTGAAAACAGTTCTTTTCACCTCCTACGACTGATTATCAGGAAATACGTATCATAAATTTATTTTGATTGTATATATTTTCTTCATTTTCTTAAACTTCTTGTATTTGTTTTTAACAGTGGTTGTTAAATTGTTTTTAATTGCTTTTAATTTGCCAATGTGAAGCACTTGGTTGCATTCTGTATGAACGGCGCGTATAAAAAAACATTGATTGATGATTGATCAGAAAGCAGATAAAGCCCCAATTTCATTTTTTATCTTGGGATGTCAGAAACGAAAATAGAATGAACGCAAGGTACCGGACCGCCACAGCCAGCAGGATTGGTTTTTAACCAAACCTGTAAATCCCTTTGTGTTGCAAACTTTTTGTTTGAAAAGCGCTTGATATATAAATTTTGATGATTGATTGAAAATAGCTAAGACACATAAAATTTGGTGTGTTAAATACTCTGTATGGTAAAAAATATAGTGTCGGTATAACGAGTTTGAGGTCGTGGTGCGCTCCTCTCGAGCCCAGTTGCGCGCCACTCGTGGTCAGCTTTGTTGTCTTGTGTATACGTGTGTATGCTCCTTACGCTGAAGGGTCATACCGGAAGTGCTTTAGTTTTACAAATAAAATACGCTGTGCGCTTGATTGCGTGTTTTTAGAGCCGGTCAAAGAGATGATTGGTTTCATGTATATCACGGTCTATCCCGTCCTTATAATGCTGTATCAACAACTGAACCGGCAGATTTGGGGAAAACACATTGACTTTGTGCTTCATAAAGTCAGCAGCTGATTGGAGCCGAGGGAACATCTGCCATGACACCGTGTAGAGCTCCTTCTACCACCGCAGCTGCTCCTTTCCGTCGATCGGTGAGTGTGTTGTTATGCTAGTGCTGTTAGCGTTAGCATTAGCTACATGCAGCTACGTCTTTTACTGTCTGTTCAAATGGACATTCATTCGTAGTGTTTACGTAAAACAATTATTATTAACAGAGTTTTCTGGAGCACGTTCCCTCCGTTTTATACTTTTTTAATCCGGCATTTTTTGTCCATTATTGGAATAAAAATACTGCAGGCACAAGACAAAGACAAGTGCTCGGTAACAAGATCGTAATTTTCTATGTAATTCTTATTTCAGAATAGAACAATACTCTCGACAGCACACTGTGACTGAGAGGTTGGAAAACCAAGAACGTTTAGCATTATTATTATCGCCGACTGTGAACTACACATGTGTATCGCCCTAAACACAGCAGCATCGTCTCCGGAGGACGTTACACAGTAGTCTCTTTACCTACAACAGATCAGAGAATCAAACTGTTTGACACACATGAAATACTATAACAACTAACTCATACAGGGGCGTTCACGACCGGTGTACGGCGAGCCGCGGTTCCCCGTCAGATAATGTTTCCCTTCGTCTACCTCGCCCTCCGCCCCCGCTCCCCGCACCTCGCAAGCGTCAAATAGTGCCGCCGTGCTGTTCAGCACTCGTATACCCGAGCCTGCTTGCGGCGGCGAGCTCTACAGACGACAGTGAGAAAGCACCTGAAGTGAAGGTGACCCCTACCCCCAACGCAAAACTCAGGAAAAATATCCACACTCGTTAGTGCTAGGTTTGTGCAGAAAAAATATCATGTTTGTGCTTGTTTGGTTTCTTTCAGTATGTGACAACTTATATAATATAGAAGCCCTATATATATATATATATAGAATATGATAGTGACAAATAAATAACATATGTGTATGTGTATGTATATATAATAATATGTATGTATGTATGTATATAATATTGTATATATATGAGATGTGTATATGTATAATTATATATTATATCATATCCACATATAACTATATATAGATATAGGTATATATGTGTAACTTATGTAGATAAATAGTTATATATATATTATTGTGTGTACGGTAAGTATAATATATAATGATGATATATATATTGTGGTATGTATGTATATATTAGTACAATACATATAGCTATCATGGTAATAAATGTATAATATTACTGTGCTGTCCAACGATTAAAATGATTTAAATCGCGGTATAGACCATATTTAGACTGCGATAATAGAAACATCAGTGTGTTGCAATTATTGATGATGATAAACAATCTGTAAATATTTTAACAAAAAGTAAATTTGTTCATGTAAACCATACTCTCAGGTGCTGTTTCTCTGTATATTTTGTAAATTTGCTTACTTTCGGTTTCCTGTTTATATCTCTATGACTGTATACTGTTTGCTTGTATTGCCTTTTTGTATTAACCCCTCCCCCCCATCTCCCACTTCATGTCCCCCCCCCCCCTCCCTATGTGCCCTTCTGGGTTTCTTCTTTGGCCCCCCTGATCTCCAACTACATATTGTTAGTAATCCCTCAGTCTACAATGTATCATGAATCAGCTGTCGTTTGTTTCTTTCTTTTTCATTTCTGTATATGTGTTTTGGCTGCAGTAAAAAAAAAAAAT